CCCCAAAACCCCAAAACCCCAAAACCCCAAAACCCCTGGTAACTATGAAGAAATGGAAAATGGTTTGAAATCATTTTATTCAGAGATTTATTCATAGATTTTATACTTCTCAAATTTAGCATGGTTCACATCAGCTTTCTTCTTGAATGGAAAGGGAAAATATGAACTATCAGCCTCACCATCGAGGTTTACTACTTCAACCTCCTTCTTGACCCCGCATTTCATAGCCGGGAAGCTTTCCATTTGCCTAAACCTTCGAGTTGTCTGTAGCAAGGTTGGCACTTTTTGGGGTTTCAATCTCACCCAATAACTGTTGATAGTCTTTTTCCTTTGAGTAAGAGGTTGTCTATGGTAAGGATATGAACTTTACTGTCAGTCTTTAAAACTCTCATGGAAATCTTCATTATGATACCGCCTTGTCTTAATAGTAGGAAGAGAAGGAATTTTAGACTCTTCCTTTCTGAGCTGAGGCATCGAGGCATTATTTCCTGATCTTCTTGAAATTATTATTTGTCAACTTTTTATTTTCTTTCTATAAAAATCAGAATAATTTATGAACCTTGGCCTTTGGAAACTTGCTTTCAAGTGGCTTCTTCAAAGTAATGTTCTTGAGGTTCATTATTCTATAAATATTTATCTGTTTTTACCCATAATTCCTCTGCTTTGCTACAAGATTCTTCTTGATAAGTTTCTATGCTAGATTAAGAAGAATACCTTTTTATGGGATATTGTATTCTTATTTTCCTTCTCCCCTCCTGAGGTGTTTGAAGCCTTACTGTACAAAGACATTTTAGACTCTCTTTTTTCTAGTAACTTGGCTATCTTCGAGTCATTTGAAGCTATTTTAATTAGAATAATAGAATCTACAGAATCAAAGCAAGCAGGCATTTCAAACATTAGAAATAAAAATATGTGCTTGACTTAATAAAAGAGAAGTTAGATATTTTCAATTATAATTTTTACCATTGCTCGAGTCATCCTCGCTATCATCAGAAGAAGTGTAGTACATTATTATTTCAATAATTTATAAATATTTCGGGGTTTTGGGGTTTTGGGGTTTTGGGGTTTTGGGG